TCAATTCTCCTATATGGAATTGTTTGAATTAAGTACTCTCTAACCAGAAACCCTGGTTTCAGTCTGGCAGAACTTAATAAGCTGATATTATATATCTTAAACATTAAACATATCCAACGATTAATATATCACAATGCCATCAGACAAATTGTTTAATGTTTTTCACTATAGGCACAAGGTGGAGCACGATATTAATGACTGTAATGTTATTTTATGATTAGTTTTTGTAAGCAAATTGTTTGCCTATTGCCAATAACCTTTATCATGTTATTATACAGTAATTAATTCAAAACTTGGCTTCTCCTCGTATTCTCTGTAACTGCTTTTACGAGGTCCTCCATCTGACTGAATCACAGAAGTGATCAATCATTAGTTAGGTTTTGTATCATAAAATTAATACATTCATATCTCTAAATACATATTGCGTGCCTGCTTATTATATAATTGTAAAATGTGTAGATTTTAAGCCTATTTATCTGAGAGGTAAATTAATGAAAAGTTGTATCCTTCTCAAATATGATGCAGCGTAAAAAGTGCGGCATTCCTTTCCTCGTCAATTTGATGCGAGTAAACGAACGTCATTCCCAGAATGGAAATTGGAATCCACTTGTATGCATCAGTGACAAATTCATCAATGACTAAGTCACAGAGGGAGCACAATGCAACCATGAGAAATGCAACAAACCAACACTATGTAACACCCTGCAATTTTGATGTGGATTGACCAGAATTTCTACAAGACAAAGGATTCTTAGTCGACCAAGCGTTACTCAGAACAATCATTACAATATCTCATTCTATATATCAGCAGTTGAGAGAAAGATCAGAAAAACAGTAATGCAGATTGAAATAGGTCAATTCATGGTTCAATGGGGAGGGGGTAAAGATGCAGAGGAGATATGGCCATTGAAAATTAATATTGGGAGCAGTATGTGGAGGGAAAGGTTAGGACAACCGAAATCATGGAATTCATATAAACGCTAAGACCGATACTGATCATAGCAACAGATGAGTCAGTCAGGAAATACGTGTTTGAATGGTCAGCGGCCAAAACTGGGTGATGCATTTCATTCAGAGCAGAATGAGAAGCATACACGGATGTACTTTTTTTGTTTACCATCAACACTGAAGATCATGACAGAACCATACTCCTGACAAGTTCCATGAACCTCATCAGAAGACTGGGGACAAGTTTTGTCCAAAGAATAGGGGCAAAAACCTCTGAGAGACTTCAAGGCTCATCTTATAACGACTTATATTCCAGGCCACAGTGGCATATCTTTCAACAAGAAGGAGGACCGTATAGCTGGAAAGATTTCTGGTAATGTCGTCAGTGAAATAGCATGTAGATTGAGGAAATAGGAAAAGATGGATCAGAGGCCACACTGGTCAACTGGAAGACTAATGGAAAAATAATGGAAGTGAAACCAGTGCGAAAATATGTGTAAAGGACAGGTACTTCTTAAATCAAATTGAATTGGATATTATTGCTAGAAGAACCTTGTGAATATTATTGAAGGGAGGAGAGCCTGTGTCAAACTCGTAAAGTGTATAACAGCAGTAGAATTAATAGTAATAAAATTGTATTAAATTATGTACCTGTCGTTTGGAATTAAGATAATTTTCACATAATTTTTGCTTTGCTAATATTAATTAAAGGTGGTTGCTGCCTGCCAGTTGCTTCTTCTATGATCAGTGATTTAGAACTAGGGACGGCACGATGCTACCTATATGAACACTGACAAACGTGCTGTTACGAACCTCTACATTTGTAAGGGGAGGAGCATGTGCTTTAGCTAGTACTAAATTCCCATAGCATGTAAATAAATAAATAAGGCCATTTCTATTCATTTTAAGCGTTCTAAAGTACATGATATGATAAATACGGAATTTTCATTAATTACGCCAAAATGAAAGCTAACATATTATTATTTGTTTATATAAAGGATACCAGTTCTTGGTTGTAATTATCAACAACGTAAAAACATGTATCTCGGGTAACATAAAAATTACTCCGCCTCCATCCCACTCCCACTTCGGTGGCTCTGCGGTAAACTTGAAAGATTATAACACTGAAATTTGAGGATCGATCTTATTAGTGGGTCGTATAGATAACCCACTGTGAAACTTTGTTTTTAACAATAAACAAACAGATATAAAACTATGCAGAATAGTGATAAGTGGAAATGAATCTCTCATCAAAACGACAAACATACATATAGCAATCTTTATAAATTACAAGCAAAAGTACCCGCCCCCTGTAACAGAAAAATTTTAGTTAATCTATCAATTTAAATTATTTCATCGACTTTGAAAAGGTTAATTGTGTTGCACTATTGGTTTCACTCAGAACCAAAGCTCTGAGCTACTTATACCGCCCACCGCGAAAAGTAATTGTTGTGCATTTCAGTCATGCTAAGAGCCGCTCAACAATAACATACGGTAAATCTACATTTTTATTATTTAGGTTACGTCACGTTTTGAAATGTGAATGATAGTGTGATTAATTCCTAACAATTTGGTGTAAAATATCCTGCTTGCGAACTAAAATTTGGCATCAACATTATTCATGCCTGTTCTCCCGTCATTTCAAAAATTAATGTTGAGCTTTGCCTGCGTGCGCAGCTTTTCAAACGGGAGACAGACGAACGATCGGATAGACACCACGGTTCGCAATATATATAAGATCAGTTTCTTATCCTCATTGAAATCGAACATACAGTGATTTCCTGACAACCATCAGTCTTTCCCCTAATGCTGAAATAACGCATTAATTTCGATTTTATCGCCAAGTTGTTTATTTTCCTGCAGCTTATGAATTCTTTGTTTTGATAAAAGTTACTAAAGCGACACCTATACATATATATTCCTTGTAATATTATACTGATGCTTGATTCAAGTTTCTGTTATCGAGAACCACAGTGGTGGTTCATAATAGAGATCGCCTATTTGTTTTTCTTTATTATTTAATATTGTCCGTTATTGTAATAAAACGTGGGCAGTATTACTAAACGCATCATTGCGCGTTGTAGGGTAGTTTTTAAGTTTATTTGACTACTTAGTAATGTTATCAATTTACGTTAGACTTTAAACTTCGAAAGGGGGTGGTAGATACGTTATCAAGGACAGAATATTTAGAGAACTTACACGACGATTACAATATATATAGTGAGTTGTAAGATTTTATTTAAATGTTATGTTAGCAAATTAAGACATTAAATCGTATATAAAAATCTGATTTGTCATTAACCACGGTTGTGGTTCATATTGGATCGACTATTTGTTCTTCTTTATTATTATTATTATTGAATATTGTTTCACCAGCCTACAGCAAATATGGCTGTAAGTATTGTAATAAAACCTGGGCAGTATTACTAAACACATCATTGCGCATTGTGTAAGGTAGTTTTTACGATTAATTGATTACCCAGCAAATAACAGCGGTTGTATAATTATTCACATCCAATCGTTTTTATGTAGTCTGTGGTTTATATACAAATACACCACCACGTAGATGGACAGACGGACATACAGATAAGACATTTTTAAACGTTAATATATAAATTTTGTGATTTTTATATAAATACGCCTTTGGTAGCCATTTATTTTATAATGCATTGTAGACAGTTTGCAGTTATTTTAGTTTTTCAAGTAATTGGAATATGGTGTGTACAAAAACGATTAACATAATAATTTATTATGAATAGCGTGTCTTTCAACCTACATAAAACCTGAAGTAAATTTCTAAACGACTTCGCTACTGTTCATAAATGTGAAGGGCGTGATAATATGGACTGTTCAGTGTTGAACCAGTAAGCGGAAGAAGGGAAAAAAACTCGTCTTGATGACGTCACGATTTTTCCAAGACTGCCAAAGTCATTTGATATATCATAAGAAACTCCGGGAAATCCCAATACCTTTAGTGAAAATATAGTAGGCTTAATCTACCCCTCCTTTTCTAATAACATCCAAATCTTGTATTGTTGTCTATGCACGTAAATGTTATAACTTATGGAGTTATCGGCTGCCAAGATGCGTATGGCAAATGTGTAATTTACAGGTTCGCTATTGTTTAAGATGCTGAATAATTAGGTCTAAGACGTTTTAATCTGTCTTGTTCGTAAGCGGTGAAACTATGTGTTTCACTTAGATTGTCCAGAATGTCCACTTTAAAATTTCCTGGCTGAATTCTTCTGTCGTTGATATTGTAAAAAACAGGCTAACATGAAAACAAACTTTAAAAGCGTAAAGTTCTCCTGCTCATGGGTAGAGGTCGCTCAAAAACTTGTCTTTCAATAGATTTGCAATATAATGTTTTTATAACTTTGATTCTATGACAAGTTATAGCTTTTACAGTAAGGAAGATTATTTTTTATCACGTACGACGTTTCGATCACTGGTGCGATCATTCTCAAGTACACAAGTTTCACTTTATAAATCTATAAACTCGAAAGTTAAAACTTCTAGATTGATGAGTTAATTTTTTTTTCATGAGCAGCAAAAATTAGAGAAAATATAAAAATATGGTAAATTACCATAAATTTGTAAAAAGTAAAAAAATCAGAAAATTTCCAGATTTACTTTAGTCATTTGTTTCACTCGCTATACGACCGAAATGCTTAGAATGCCCATCGGATGGTGTTTCCAGGTTGTAGACATTTCTATCGTTCACAATGTTCGTTTTATTATTGAAAAAACTGTCAGTTTAATCAATATTACTTAACGTGAAACAATGAATGTATTTCACCTATATACATCTGTAGTGGTATACTGGATATTATAAGATGTCGAAATAAACAGTTTCCTCTGCTTTTAATAAGAACTGGAATTATAAGAAATTACGAACTATAATTTACAATATTTTGTATAAAATGTTTAAACAAACTCGAGAAATATATATTTTTTAGAGCTTTGCAATAATTTATTGAACATTATATATATATATCCATCAATACAATTTGTAATATACAAAATACATATGCTAATTATATTTCCACCAGATGGAGCGTATACTCGAGAAAATGCAAGATGAGCAGATTGGAGTTCCTGTAAAAACTGTGAAGAGTTTTATGACCAAGATTCCTAGTGTTTTCACAGGTATAATAACTGTTTATATTCACTGTAATAACATTTCTCTGTAAAAGAGGAGATAGATAATGAAATGTATAACAGTTAGTTGTTAAAAAGTACATATTTGTTAGTGCTCAATACAAACTTAGGACCCCCCACCAGTGGCACAGCGGTATGTCTGCGGACTTACAACACTAGCAACCGGGTTTCGATACCCGTGGTGGGCAGAGCACAGATAGCCCATTGTGTAGCTTTGTGCTTAACTTCAAACAAACAAAGTTAGCTGCGTCAAAATGTGTGTATTATCCTTCTGAGACATGTTTAAACTTTTAATGAGGGATTTTCTTACATAGCTTACACTTGTTCGTTCACGTAGTATAAATAACGAAACATCTGTGATAAAGTTTAACATCTAAAGAAAAGGGAGCATAAAATAATTTTAACTCTTTTAATTATTTGTTTATTTATATTTAAATAAAACGGCCAGGCCAAGCACAAAATAAGTAGATAAATAAAAGACCTTACGTTACACAAAGAGATCAGGCAATTAAACCAGGATCAAAACATTAAAGCTAATTTTACAGATCGTACTTTGTTATTTGTATCAGTTAATAACGATGTGAGTAATTATAATATAATTATTTATATACAACATAAAAATTATTATAAATATTTATACTTGTTAACTTTTAAGACCGCATTCGGCTTTGAAGGATAGATTTTTCAACCACAGTCCAGCATACTACATGAACATTCAAGAATACAAAGTATAGTTAGCGTCTTAATTGATGTATTAGAACTGTCAAGTTTTACAATGTGTACGAACTATTCGTTACATTTTCCACAGAATTTAGTGTTTTTTTTTTGGTTTGTATTTGAGAAAGGTTTCATCTGTCCTCTGTTCCTTGTATTGTTTGTCATCTGTCCTCTGTTTCTTGTATTGTTTGTCATCTTTCCTCCGTTCCTTGAATTGTTTGTCATCTTTCCTCTGTTTCTTGTATTGTTTGTCATCTTTCCTCTGTTTCTTGTATTGTTTGTGATCTGTCCTCTGTTTCTTGTATTGTTTGTGATCTGTCCTCTGTTTCTTGTATTGTTGTGAACTGTCCTCTGTTCCTTGTATTGTTTGTCATCTGTCCTCTGTTTCTTG